TCCTGGGCTTCGAGTTGAAGTTTCAGGGGTTTAGTGGGTTAGTCTGTAGCTTTTCTGGCTTCCAGGATTGGGCTCTTTAGGGCATTCGGGGTTTAGGGCTTAGGCTGTTGTAAGAGAGTTCCCAAGAGCGAACATCTGTGCTCAGCCATTTGCTTTCAATTTCAATGCACGATTTTGGGCTGCATGATATACATACATACATACATACATATATACTATACCATATCTATATCTATATATATATATATAGAGAGAGAGAGAGAGAGACAGAGAGAGAGAGAGAGAGTGCGTAAACCTTGAGGCAAGAACACTTCAACATCATTACCTGAGTGTTGATTAGAAACAGCAAGGAGACCATTATACTTTCCATAGACTTTTCTTGCAAGGCAAATTCTATGAACATTCCACCGCTTTTCTGATCTGTGCTTGGCCAGTTCTTTTTTGAACGAAGTCCATGTAAGTTCTGCTCAGGTGATCTCGCAGAAGCACTAGGGGATTGTTACAGGCTTTACTGATTCGAGGCGGGCTCTGCAACAATGTCAGGCTCGAATCTACTGCGAACCTACCCTGGGTTGGCCCCTTAGAGCCCTATGACTACTACTCTAGAACCCCGTCAGGGTATAAGTAACATACCCCAAGACTAGGCAGTCCACAAGTTCGTCGAAGTTCGGTGTCCTTGCCCTAAGCCTTCGGAACTGCATGGTTCATATACCCAAATACAGATTATAGTATCACAGGGTGTATGACCCAACTTTAGGTTCTTTTGGCCCCCGAGGAGCAGTCTAAAAGAACCCAAGGCCCTATGTAGTAAGTTTCGGGCGTGCTAGGTTTAGGGATTGGGCACAAGAGGTTCGTTGTAGACCCTGACCTGGGTTTGGGGTTTAGGGTGTAAGAATGAAGACTCCCCTCCAAGCGCCCGGCACGGGTTTCCCTCGGTATCGCACTTCAAAGCAGTTCTGTCCTGGAACTCGCGCACAAGGGTTCCTAAACTCCTAAACCTTAGAAGCTCAGGATTGCGAGAAGAATTTATTTATCGATTATGTACTGATTACTTATTAATTACCCTGAATCCCATTGATGCCAAAGCCTGAAGAATGACAAACCCTAAGACCCTTAAGCACTTAAAGCCCAAATCCTAAACTCTAAACCTCTTGCAAACCCTAAAGCTCGTGAACCCTAAGCTTTGAGCCCTAAAGCCCACAAGCTATTCAGCCCACGAACGCCGCTACTTCTCCGAAGTTGCCCAAGGCCACGTTCCCCAATAATGGTAGTCGTGAAAGCCATGGTAATGGTTTAGGGTTTAGGGTTTAGGGTTTAGGGTTTAGGGTTTAGGGTTTAGGGTTTAGGGTTTAGGGTTTAGGGTTTAGGGTTTAGGGTTTAGGGTTTAGGGTTTAGGGTAGGGTTAGGGTTAGGTTTAGGGTTTTTAGGTTTGGGTTTAGGGTTTAGGGTTAGGGTTAGGGTTTAGGGGGTTTAGGGTTTAGGGTTTAGGGTTAGGGTTTAGGGTTTTGGGGTTTAGGGTTTAGGGTTTAGGGTTAGGGTTTAGGGTTTAGGGTTTAGGGTTTAGGGTTTAGGGGGTTTAGGGTTTAGGGTTTAGGGTTTAGGGTTTAGGGTTTGTGGCTTAGGGTGGTTTAGGGTGGCTTAGGGTGGTTTAGGGTGGTTTAGGGTGGTTTAGGGTGGTTTAGGGTGGTTTAGGGTGGTTTAGGGTGGTTTAGGGTGGTTTAGGGTGGTTTAGGGTGGTTTCGGGTGGTTTGGGGTGGTTTAGGGTGGTTTAGGTTGGTTTAGGGTGGTTTAGGGTGGTTTAGGGCGGTTTAGGGCGGTTTAGGGCCTAGGGTCTAGGGTTTGTGGATGCCAACAGTAAAACTAAAAGCAGTGACAAAATGAACAACTCAACGCCAACAAAACTTGCAAAACCTTACGGCGCAAACCCAACACTCGAGATTCGCACGCGCGACTCTCCTTTTCTCAAGCACTTGTCATGGATTCCCCTACTACCCGCTCCTCTAGACTTTCCCCCCCCCCCCTAGGTTCCCCCGATAATTAAGGATATTTCGGGAAAATTAAGCCTCATTTAGGTTCTTTAAGGGGGGAACCCAGGGGGGGTAGTAGGGGCCCATGAGGTTAGGGCCCTTCCCTAAACCCTAAACCCTAAACCCTTAACCGTTGGGGCAAGTCACAGGGGTTGGCCGCTTTTCAGGCTCAGAAGTGCGTGGCCAGAAAGACTGCGAACATCCCCTGACAAAAGCAGCACTTAACGCTACGCCCTAAACCCTTAACCCTAAACCCTAAACCCAAACCCCACAGCCTAAAGCCGAAGCCGAAAACCTCTGAACCCTACACCCCCCCTATGCGCTTTCGTTTCAAGGCTGCTTCGGCGTTCGGGTCCAGGGTTCAGGGCTTTGGCCGTCTTCCTTTCCAGGGGTAGGGTTTAGGGGTTTAGGGTTTAGGGAGTTTAGGGGTTTAGGGGTTTTGGGGGTTTAGGGAGTTTAGGAGTTTAGGGGTTTAAGGGTTTAGGGGTTGAAGGGTTTAGGGGTTAGGGATGTAGGGTTTAACTCCTCTTTGTCTTCCCAGCACCCAAGCAACGAGTCTTTGAGAACCTTGGCGGGCATTTGGAGCTCCTCTTAGAAGAGCACCGGGTTTAGGGTTTAGGGTTTAGGGTTTAGGGTGTAGGGTTTAGGTTTTAGACTCCTCCCATGCCGTGGCCGAGACTGGCACAGGTGGGACCCTAAACCCCCAAGCCCGAAATCCTAAATGGCCATCTCTGATGGACAACGGGCGAAAGCAGGGCCAGAAGTCCTCTTTAGAGGACTTCTGCCCCTAAGCCCAACGTCCGAAGCTAAACGCGGGAATCTCCGGCGGCACTGGGCAGGAGGTGCCTGATAGCTGTCGGCACCTACATCTTCCTGGCTCTGAACCCTGAACCCGGCCTAGGGTTTAGGGGTTTAGGGGTTTAGGGGTTTAGGGGTTTAGGGGTTTAGGGGTTTAGGGGTTTAGGGGTTTAGGGGTTTAGGGGTTTAGGGGTTTAGGGGTTAGGGGTTTAGGGGTTTAGGGGTTTAGGGGTTTAGGGGTTTAGGGGTTTAGGGGTTTAGGGGTTTAGGGGTTTAGGGGTTTAGGGGTTAGGGGTTAGGGGTTAGGGTTTAGGGTTTAGGGTTTAGGGTTTAGGGTTTAGGGTTTAGGGTTCAGGGTTTAGGGTTTAGGGTTTAGGGTTTAGGGCCGGACAAAAAGTCGTCTACAGCAAGAGTACTACTGGGCATGGCGAAGCGCCCAAAAAGTAACAAAAACAACTGAAACAAGGCGATCCACCGTCAGGGTTTAGGTGTAGGCTAAGCTTCCCCTAGACCTAAACCCTAAACCCTAAACCCTAAACCCTAAACCCTAAACCCCTGAAGCAAGATGATCCATTGTCACGGTTTAGGGCTTAGGGCATCCTACAAGAATGACGGCTCTGGGTTTGGGCTCTCCTGGGCTTCGCCCTGCCGTCCTTCCAGCCCTGCAGGGTTAGGGTTTTTAAGGCCAGTTTGGGGTCTAGGTTTAGGGTTTAGGGTTTAGGGTTTAGTGTTTAGGGTTTAGGGTCCAGGGCTTAGGGCCCCCAAAACCCCAAAACCCCAAAACCCCAAAACCCCAAACCCCCAAACCCCCAAAACCCCGAAACCCCCAACCCCAATCCCCCAACACCCCAAAACCCCAAAACCCTAAAACCCCCAAAACAATGAACTACCCTAAAAACCCGAAAACCCTAAAAACTCTAAAACCCTGAAACCCAAAAAAAAACCAAAACCCTAAAATACCCTAAAACCCTAAGCCCCGAAAACTCTAAAACCCGAAAACCCTAAAACCCAAAACCCAAAAACCTAAAAACCCCAAAACCCTACACCCTCGACCCTAAGCGGACCCGCTGCCCTGAGTGCTTGCTGCCTCCTACCTTGGCAGGAGGGAAGAGGGGGAGAGGGAGAGCCGGCAACTTAGTGCCGGCGCCACTCCCCCGACACGCATTCCTAAACGCACTGGTTCCGCGCATCCCAAGAAAAAGAGGGTTCAGGGTTTAGAGTTTGCGGTTTAGGGCTTGGGAGTCTGGTAGCTGCAAATGTATGCCTTGAAAGTTGTGAAGGGCGACCTTTCAACCATCCCCCCTAAATGCCTCTCTTAAAAGGCGGAGGGTTGAGGGGGTAAGGGGTTAGGGTTTAGCAGTTTGGGGGTTTTCTCTGGGGGTGTAGAACTGAGGAGTTTAATCCCTTCCCGCTTGAATTGAGTTTTAAACATACCCCTTATTATAAAAAAAAGCTTTCCGGAAAATCCTGCGGAAACCGATCCCACCTTTTCAAACCCTAATCCGAACTAGGGGGTGGGTTCAAACCAACCAACATCCTGAAGCTCCCTTAGCCCCTGTCTGAGCCTTGCAGTGCTGCGTGAGTGGAGCTCTCCCTCTCTCCCTCTCTCCCTCTCTCCCTCTCTCCCTCTCTCTCTCTCTCTCTATCGTAATTACCCTGAAGCCTAGACCCTAAACCCTTTGGACCCAAAACATGACCAGTCGCCTAATAACAAAAACGCATTTCGAGTTTCTACCTGGGGGGGGGGAAGGGGGCCCGCCCGTTTAATCTTGGGGGGGATAGGATGACGGGTTTACTCTGAGGGTTTAGAGCCTACAGGCGTCTAGGTGTTTGGGTTAGGCTTCATGCTGGAGATCTAGATCATGTGCAGAAGAAACTTTAAGCACACTACCTAAACCCTAAACCCTAAACCCTAAAAACTCAACCCTAAACCCTAAGCACACTCCTAAGCAGATGCACGAAGGACCGATCTGCCAGATGCCGGTTGCAACCAGGGCGGAGGATCGCGCAGCTGAGCATTAAGCCTTCCACCTTCAAACCCCAAACCTATGAACCCGACCCAGACACCCTTGAAACCCCTCGAAACCCTCAAACCCTTAAGTAAACCCTAAAGTAAACCCTACCATAAAGCCTGCAGTAAACCCTAGAATCCCTCGACCCTAAGCCCCCAGCCACTCACGAGCGCATGGGCCGCCGAATCTTGCGGCTCTTCCCGGAGGCCGTGTTGAGCTGAAGCTTCTTCTCCAAGTCGAAGACGTACCTCAGGGGATCCGAAGTATGGGGCCCTTAAGTTGGGTCCCCTGTTATATAGCCCTTATATACACTATGCATGGTTCTAACCTTACAGTACCTCAGGGGACCGAATCGATCAAAGCTGCTGTTGGACCTTTGGGTTTCGGGGTTTAGGGTTCGAGGGTTTTAGGCTGTAGGGCCTTAGGGCCTTAGGGTTCAGAAACTTAGAATCAGGCCCGACACCGAATATTCCAAGACCCTAAGCATTTTGGCCAGCTTTTCTTCAACCACAACCCCCCAATGCTTGGGGGGGGGCACTTCGGGTACGCAGGCTCGTACATAGGGTTTTGGGTTTTGAGGGTCTCTGCTAGTCTGTTCATCCCTTTGCTCCCAAACTACTGCCCCTCCACACGCTAACACAAGGGCTCAGGGCTTAGGGTTTAGGAACTACTTTCTTATCAGTGATCTTGCAGTTGGTTTGACCTTTAGCTTCCATATATGGTCCTCAGATTTGTTAGCAATACGAAGTCTCATTAACAAGTTGATCTTGAGTTGGTTTTCCTTACTTTCTGAAGCTCTATTACCTCTGATATGTGTATGCTGCTTTTGGGCATCCTTTGATTGCTTATCGTGTCCAAATTTAGGGATGTGGCGTGGAGAAGCTTTCTCTCTTCCAGATCCTTGTGCACCAACTTTTGCTGACAAAATACTTCTGCTGATGTTCATCACAACACAATATTCTCTTAACATTTTAAGGGACCATTATTCTCTTAAACCCTAAACTCAGGGCCTAGGCCGCCCCCCTCTCGACGGCACAAGGGCCGGACCAGGTGCTCAACAGTTTGGCCCTCCTGCCCTGCCTTTGTCTGGCTTTTGGCCCCCCTTGGCCCTCTTGGCCCCCCTGGCCCCCCCCTGGCCCCTGGCCCGCCTGACCTCTTCCTTCCCCTGAAAAAGAAAAAAACTCAGGGTGCCTCATTTTCCTGGCCCCCGCCTCGCAACCTCCAACCCTCCCTGAAACTGCCTCCCGACCCCCCAATTCCTTGACTCTCGGACCCAACGAACGTCATGAATCTGAATAAGTTGTTAGAAGTGGACTGTTGTCTGAGTTTAGGCCTACACCCCAAAAGGAATAGGTTTGGGTGGCTTTGCCACCTTGCACATCGTGGGGTGGGAGAAAAGTGTTAGACGGCCCTCCACAATCGGGCCAAAGCTGCGCTTCGCACCTCACGAAGCTTTCGAGCTTGTTCCGAAACCTAACCTTAACCCTAAAGCCCCAAACCACCGCCTTTGGCGAAAGACCAAGCGGCGTGAAATCGCCGATCTTTCGCTCCACCTGCTTCACGCCCATGCTCTCCGCGCGAGTCAGCTCCGAGCCTACAAAGGGGGCTTAGGTTCAGGGTTGGGGTTTAGGGTTTAGCGTTTAGGGTTTAGGGTGTGGGGTTTAGGGTTTAGGGTTTAGGTTAGAAGGTTTGAGGCTTAGGGGCCACGGTCGCAGGACTACTTAGGTGCCCGTACTCCCCCCCCCCCCCCCCCCCCCCCCCCCCCGTAAGATGGACACTTAAAGGCTATGCTGCACTTGCGTGCCTTGGAAACAAATACTTTACAAATGAAACACCCGCAGAATAGACGCAACGCACCTGCAGAATAGACGAAATGCACTCTTTCCGTCAGCGCTGGGCGCCCGGGAGGGCGCGGAGGGCGCGGAGGGCGCGGAGGCGCGGAGGGCGCGCGGAGGGCGCGGAGGGGTCGGAGCACGCGGAGGTTACTGCCCCTTCAACCAAAAAAAAACATCGCGCTCCGAACCCCTTGTCTTGTCCACGTGTTGCCCACTCCCCTGCCCATCAAGCGAGTGTCACGCTGCCCGTCCGCGCTCCCTCCTCCTCGTCCTCTCCATTCCTCTGCCCACCCCAAAGCCGTCCGTCTACCGCACATCCATGCATGGTCCACGCCTTCCCACGCCCCTCTCCCAGCAAAATTTTCCGACCCCCCTCCCTTGACCGTGTCGTTGAAGCGCCAAATGAGAACCCAATCCCAGAGAGGTTAACGGGAAGAATCCAAGAAAACAAAGAGCACGCGCAGAATCGACGTTAAGCGTCCAAGGCACCCCCTTCCCCCGTCCCCCCCTTCACTGGGATCCTTCTGTTATAGGGCAGCCGCTCTCAGCTTGAGGTGTTGTTGGCAACCCTCAACCTCCGAAACCCCCAGACCCTAAACCCTGAACCCTGAACCCGAAACCCTAAACCCTAAACCCTAAACCCCAAACCCTAACTGACCTCGACTCTTCTAGCTCTCTTGTCTAGGCCATCCCAACGCCTTCAAGCTGCAAACCTTTTGAACTCCCCCAGACCCCAAACCCTGTGAGTTTAGGGTTTAGGGTTTAGGGTTTGGGGTTTGGGGTTTGGGGTTTGGGGTTTGGGGTCCTGATTTCTGAGCGCTGAACCCCTGAACCCTCGGCCCTAGACGCTCAACCCGAAGACGTGACTGGAGTCTTTCGGGTTTGGGGCTAGGCTGTGAAGTTTTGCACCTCTCTCCATGTGTCCTGCCGAAGGTACTCTCGCAGGGTTTAGGGTTTAGGGTTTAGGGTTTAGGGAGAGTGTTTAGGGTTTAGGGTTTAGGGTTTAGGGTTTAGGGTTTAGGGTTTAGGGTTTAGGGTTTAGGGTTTAGGGTTTAGGGTTCTTCTACGGGTAGTTACATGGTCCCTTCATATGGGCCCGTAGAAAGGGGACCGCTTCTGTACCCCTTGTATACCCTGTACAACCTGAGGGGTCATACCTCGGAACCATGTAAGGAAGTAAGGGGCCATATGAAGGGCCCATATAACTACCCTTAGACAATGCCCAAACCCTGAGCTCTAAGCCCCTACGAACCTCGACCCTTTAGCTTCCTAAGGCCCTCAGCCTAAATAGCAACGCCCCAAACCCCCGGAAACCCCAAACCCCAAACTCTAAACTCTAAACCCCAAACCCGAAACCCTAAACCCGAAACCCGAAACCCTAAACCCTAAAATCCTAACCCGTAGCCCCAAACGCCAACCGAACCAAGCAGCTCACGTCCGGAGGCACATTGGTCCAGCCTCGGGCTCCACTCGCATGTGTGCCGATTTGTTCGAATAGAGCAAAAGGTTAGGGTTTAGGGTTTAGGGTTTAGGGTTTAGGGTTTAGGGTTTAGGGTTTAGGGTTTAGGGTTTAGGGTTTAGGGTTTAGGGTTTAGGGTTTAGGGCTTAGGGCTTAGGGTTTAGGGTTTAGGGTTTGGGAAATTGTGTTTAGGAAATTGTGGTTTAGGAAGTTGGGGGTGTTCCCCCTTATACTAGCAATCCTTAACAGGGATTCTAGCACCCCCCACTCGAATCGCTATTAAGGACGGGGTACTTCCGAATTAAATGATGTATTTCTATCCCATATTGCATTCCGGAATATTGTACTGCATATCATAGCCTGATATACTGTAATATTACATTGGAATAAATACATGCTGCATTGGGGATGTACTATATATATACATACATATAGATATTTGTGTGTTTGTGTCTGTGTGTAAATTAGACGCGCACACACGCACACACCTGTATGCATACATATACATACAATATCGTGCGTCGGAAGGGCTCAGGGTTTAGGAGTTCAGGGCTTCGAGTCCTAAGCCCCAAGCCCTGAAACTCTCCCCAAACCCTAAACCCTAAACCCTAAACCCTAAACCCTAAACCCTAAACCCTAAACCCTAAACCCTAAACCCTAAACCCTAAACCCTAAACCCTAAACCCTAAACCCTAAACCCTAAACCCTAAACCCTAAACCCTAAACCCTAAACCCATTCGAGGAAGTTCAGGGCTCAGGGTGTTTAGGTTTAGGGTTTGGGGTTTAGGGTTCTTGGTTTAGGGCCGAGAACCCCAAGTGCCCTTCAAGGTACCCAAATGACCTCATTCAGGCGCGCTGAGGCCCTTATCAATGACCTCATGAAGGTGCACTTAGGCCCCTACCAGGGGGGGTAGCGTTGATAGTGTAGGTGGATACTTTCAGGGTTTCGGGTTTAGGGATCAGCGCCACCGCCGGCCTTTGTCCAACTGAACCTGCCAGTTGCGGCCAGTCGTTCCAGAGGTCTTCTTGCGCATCAGCCTCAGCCCACGCTTTTTAAGCCCTGAAACTCTCCCTAAACTCTCAACCATAGACCCCAAACCCTAAACCTAAACCCTAAACCCTAAACCCTAAACCCTAAACCCTAAACCCTAAACCCTAAACCCTAAACCCTAAACCCTACGAGCACACGCTGAGGTCCAAGATCCCGAACCAAGGACTGTCTGGGTTGCGGGTTTAGGGTTAGGGTTTCGGGGGCTTAGGGTTTAGGATCTCTGTACGTGTGTTCCTGTTATCATCCGCAGCGTTACAGTGAGGACAGCACTATTTAGAGAACTGCCATATATGGGACGCACACCGACGTACACACACCACAGCTGCCTTGGAGCGTAGCAGACAGAACCGAAGCATCAAACTTGACTTATGTGGTTGCTTCTCCATGTACTTATCGAATCTAATGTCTTTCACGTGTTCATTCGTTGATCTTGGTTATCTTCCATTTGCTGTTTTTTATGTGTTTATTATTGCTTTTGTTTTTTCCCGAAGGGGGGGGTGGCTTGGGCTTAGGTACATGTCGAAAACTGACATGCCCCCAGAAAAGAGCCAGACAAGGTGCGATGGAACCTTGCTCACTTCATACTGTCGGCGGTAGATGACAGCGAACTCCGGGTAGACCTGCAGGGAAGCATCCTCAACTACGTGTACCACCCACCCTAAAACCCGTAACCCTAAACCCTAACCCTAACCCTAAACCCTAAACCCTAAACCCTAAACCCGAAACCCTAAACCCTAAACCCCAGACCCTAAACCCTAAGCCCTAAACCTTAAGACCCTAAACCCTAGACCATGCACACGGCTCTTATGCTCTCTTTTCGAGTAGGCTTGTAGGGGCTCCGGGCCTAAGGGGCATATGTGCCAGGTGCCTCTAAACCCGAAACCCTCAGATCCTGAGGAAACCTGCAACACGCCCCCTAAGGGCTGCTACTGCAAGCCAAGGGTTTAGGGTTTAGGGTTTAGGGTTTAGGGTTTAGGGTTTAGGGTTTAGGGTTTAGGGTTTAGGGTTTAGGGTTTAGGGTTTAGGGTTTAGGGTTTAGGGTTTAGGGTTTAGGGTTTAGGGTTTAGGGTTTAGGATTTATTTAGGCTTCAGGCTTTAGAGTTTAGGGTTTAGGGTTTAGGGTCTAGGGTTTAGGGTTGAAGGACTTAGGAGTTCTTGTGGTCTGAGCACCAAACCCCTAACTGCAGTCCGACACCTGCACAGCCTCGCAAAGTACCAAACCCTAAACCCACCCCTTGTGCGCCTGGCGCTCGTCGAAGAAGATGAACTCTCGATAGGTGCCCACCTTTGGTGGGAATTAGGACTACGGTTTAGGGTTTAGGGTCTCGGGTTTTCAGCAGACGTGACAGCTATAGTGATACTGGTGAGCTTGTAAACCAATCCAAACAATGTCGAACATGTTGGCACGACAGCGCGGCAGCAATGATAATGACTAGCTTTGACTATGGCCATGAGAAGACCCTTTTGCAGGAGCTCTGGGATTGTGGCTTGGGGTGATTAGGGTTTAGGGTTCAGGGTTCAGGAATACTTGAAGGGTCATGGTTAATTATCCGCCGACCCCAGCTGGAGCGGGGGCAGCGTCAGTGAAGACCCATCGTTGTCCGCTCCCCCCCCAGTGCCCGTTCCCCCCGCCCTTCCCCTGTACCTTACTCCCTACCCTGAACCCCATACCTGGAAACGAAGTGTTTCAAGCGCTCGCCCCCTCTCCCCTACCGCTTGCCTCACCTCTTACCCTGAACTCCTTATCAGGAGACGAAGTGTTTTAGGGGCTCCCCCAACAGACCAACATAGCCTCCAAGACCCTGCAGGTAGAGACCAACATAGCCTCCAAGCTCTAAGACAGGCCAACATAGCTTCCAAGGCCCTCTAAGAGGGCCTCTAAAAAGGCCAACATAGCCTCCAAGACCCCCAAGACCCTCTAAAAGGCGCCGACACAGCCTCCAAGACCCTGTAAGAGGGGCCAGCACAGCCTGCAAGACCCTCTAATCTAAGAGGTCTGCGCCTTAAAGCTTTGTTTCAAGCCCTTTCAAGCCTCATTAAAATCTACCGGTATCCCAGACAGCTCTCCCGACTATGGCCCGTGTTTTTGTTTCCGGGGAAGCAAAAACACGTTCCGGGACAGTCAGGTCCCTCTCGAGCTGTTGCGGCGTCCCAAACCACGACCCCCGTCTGAAGGCCTCTCCCACCCCACCCCAACCCCCCAAATATAGCCGGATCCCCAGCCCCAGCCCCAGCCCCAACCCCAGCCCCAGCCCGAGCCCCACAACTGCCTGCATCACGCTCTCAGGGCGAGAAACAGTGGATGTGGTGTCTCTCTCTCTCTCTCTCTCTCTCTCTCTCTCTCTCTCTCTCTCTCTCTCTCTCTCTCTCCCTCCCTCCCTCCCTCTGTTTCCCTCCCTCTCTCACACCCACCAACAGAAAACCAATCACGCTCGCCCGACGCTCCCTCCCTTTTTTTTGAACACGCGTGCGGAGAAAATGCGCTCAAAGGGCAGCCTTATAAAATTGCAAAACAGGTTACGGCACTAAAGAAAGCAGCTTTAAAAAACAATTAAACACACTACAGCCCAGGGGGGCTAATTTAAGGGCCAGACCCGCAGTAGTCAACGACCCCATTTGCTCATCTAAACTGACCAATGACTGAAAGTGCACGTGCCCATGAGCTACGACGAGATGAACAATACATACGAAAAAGATGAGCAAAGGGGCTAGGCCCGTGAAAGTGGATCTCAAATGAACCTCTTCCCTAATCTTCAACCATCGAATTCACACAAACTAACACGATACCTACTTCACCTACATATACGCAACACTAAAAGGGACTTGGGCATGGTCAAAAAAACGGAACCCTCCGAGAGAGGAGTTACAAAGCGGCATCCGGGGACGAAGTCCCGCCCGCGTAACTCCCCCCTCGGCTCACCTAATAAGGAGTTCACGATTTAAGTATGATTTTACTTTTGCCATTAAACACTAAATTCGTGAACTCCTTCAAAAGGCCGCGCCCCGCCAGAAGTTCTTCCGAGATGAGAAACTCCAAACCCACATGGAAGATCTAAAACAACAAATCCCATGCAAACCTCAGGAAAACAAAATATAGCATACGAGAAGGACCTAAACAATGTAGCACAGTACTTTGGGGATGGAGCTTCTCACTTCGGAAGAACTTCATTAAAAAAGAGATTTCTTTTTGGCCAACGTGCATACAGTGCAGAAAAAGTGAAACAAGTTTAGGGTTTAAGGTTCAGGGTTCAGGGTTTAGGGTTTAGGCTTTAGGGTTTAGGGTTATACACTAAGCCAGCTTTAAACGGCGCCACTCAAGGCAGCCTTGTCAGATTGGAAAACTGTTCAAATGGCTCACGGAAAAAGAGTGAAACAAATGCAAAAATGCTGTGGTAAGCACTTCAAATGGTGCGGGGTTGGCGGTTCTGACAGTCCGCGCTCCGCAAGTAGTGGCCTGGTCAAGAAGGGGCATAACGAGTCGGAAAAGAACAACCACACCACACCAAAAACAAAAACACAACTGTCCGCCTTTCATGAGACGCCACTGGCGGACAGTCTCCGCAAGGCAGATGGTCGATCTAGTTGACACGGCGGACGTGCCTCCCCCCCCCCCCCCCCCTAACAAGCCTAAAAAAAGCAAAGGTGGACAAACCTCGCCTCATGCGCACAGGTTCGCCCGACGGGATGTCCTAAACAAAAAACAAACAACAGCTCATGTGAGCAAACCAATCACACAGCCTGCAGCCCCACCTCCTCCATCTCCGCCTCCGCATCCATAAAGAGGTTCTTGCAGAACTCTCTTTCCGCGTCATTCTTTCTCCGCAGACCCAAATGCATCTACCAGCCCCTTATCACCACCAACTCCAGCACAGCAAAGCAGGGTCCGGACATCGTCCTGGGGCACCATGACCTAAAATGACCACTCGCTTCCCACCCCCTCCAGTCACCCCCCGTCCTCCCCCTCCTCACCCCCGTCAAAAAATATTGTTACTTGAAATCCGAAAGACAGCTGCATCGCCACTGCCACTTGGCACTTCCTTAAAAACATCATGTGCGAAAGCGAAGCACTAAAGCAAGAGCAACATTAAAGCAAGAGCAACAATATAAACGAGGCAGGTACGACCATGCCCTGGAGTTCGAGTGGGCAGTCGGGCTCCTGAAGCGGCAAGAAAAAGCAAACATAAAGGCCCTCAATTAGGGAACGACACTCACAGTCCTGGCAGAAAACCTGCAGCTGGTCCTTAAAACCAGCACTCCATGCAGCAAGAAAGAATCAAGGAACTGAAAGTGCAAGGAGCGGCTGGGGCCACGTCGAATTGCGCGGCCTCGAAAGTTCGCTACCATACCACTACAAGTCAATAGATAGAAGTCTTGGAACAGAGAACGAGATGGGGTGTTGACGTTGTTCTCCAACCAAGGAGACGGCGCCGCCTAGAAACACATCAGATATGACACATGAACTGCCTTAACCCTCCCCCCATTCCCATTCCCCCCGTCAGTCCTCATGGCGATGTCCAGCTCGATGGGGCAGGGTTTTAGGGCTTTAGGGTTTTAGTTTTTTTTGGGTTTTTGGGTTGAAAGGTTTAGTAACCCTAAAGCCTAAACCATGGGTGGGGTCGGCGGCACTGGCGGTAGCCATTAAATCAGTAGGACTACAAGTACTTAATTCAGGTTACGGAGTCCGACAGCCTAGGGCTCTGGGGGTGTTGGGTCCTAAATAGGTTAGAGGGTTCAGGGCTTAGGGTTTTGAATATGCTGCGCCTTTAACTAAAACCATCTGCCCCTTTGGCAATTTGGCGCCCCGTAACTACCCTTGCGCCCAGGGCCTAGAGCCCCTAAATAAACCCTAAACCCGGTCAACTCTGAACCCTAACCCGAAGCCTTATACCCGAAAACCCCCTAAACCTCCGAAGGGCCGCAACCCTACCCTCACAATCCACAGCTCTAAACCTCCCCTACCCCCCCCCCCGCCCCCGACCTTCCCCCCCAACTAAACCTAAACGCTGAACCCTGAACCCTGAACCCTGAACCCTAAATTGTAAACCCTAAGCCCTAAACCCTAAACCCCCGAAACCTCCGCCCCCTCGGTACCTTGGACTCACGGTCGCCCACCACGCAGTCCATGCCCAGTGCTTTGGCTTCGGTGACCGCCTCTGAGGGGATGGTTTAGGGTTCGGGTTGAGAGTTCAGAGTTGACCGGGTTTAGCGCTTCCCCTGGAAGAGTTCGAGGGCAGGCTCCGTGCAGTGAGTTGTGGCCCTAAACCGCCGAAACCCTACACCCTGTGCCCTAAACCCTAAACCCTAAACCCTAAAACCCTGGCGCCCCTAAAGTCCCTTGACCCACTGCAGCTTCAGAATGCTTCTCAAGGCAGGCTTAGGGTTTAGGGTTGAGGGTTTAGGGTCTAGGGTTAAGGGTTTAGGGTCTGGGGTTTAGGGCGTCCCGCAGTCAGGCGCCCACAAACCCGAACCCCTAAACCCTTGAGGTTTAGGGTTTAGGGTAAGGTTTTAGGGGGGGGTGTGCCCTGCATTGCTGACATATTTTCGGCAAAAGTTCCAGGTAAACCCTAAGCTAAGCCCCACCGAAGCCGCAAAATTCCAAACCTGACACGGCCCTAAACCCACCGTGACCCTAAACACTAAACCCTAAACCCCAAACCCTAAGCAAGGGGCATCACCGGGGTCGTGGACGACGTAAGGCTCGCCAACCAAACACCGGCAAACGAGCATGGCCATTAGCCCTGGGAACCTCGGCTGCAGGGGTTTAGGGTTTAGGGTTTAGGGTTTAGGGTTTAGGGTTTAGGGTTTAGGGTTTGAGGGGCGCAAAACGCCCAGCGAAGCCTCAAACTTTAAGCCCGAAGCCCGCTTCTTTCGAGCATCAGCAGCTCCCTGGCAAGTAAGCTCTCAGCCCGAAACCCTAAAACGTTCCGTTTTCGGTCGTTTCTGAACAGACGAGTAAGGAGTGAAGTGAAGGCTGGCGCCCCTAAAACCCTAAAGCCTGAACCACTTTACCATCCTTGGGGGGTCTGAAGCCCTGTTTAGGGTTTAGGGTTTAGGGTTTAAGGTTTAGGCTTGAGGGCTTTTAGGCCGTTGCTAGAGCGTGAAGGTTGCACTAGAAGTCAGGCGGCTGAACAAACCAAAGGTTTAGGGTTTAGGGCTTAGGGCTTAGGGTTTAGGGTTTAGGGTTTAGGGTTTAGGGTTTAGGGTTTAGGGTTTAGGGTTTAGGGTTTAGGGTTTATAGCATTGTGAATTGCAAATCTTGGCTTAAACAAACTGGCACCGTGCAAGGCACCGTTCAAAAAAAACACCACAAACCGAGATTAAATAAACTGATCCTATCTTCCAAGGCCAGATAAGGCCAGATGGTCAATTTGCTTAAACCTCTAGGCCCTTTTTTGGCAACCCATCATTCTAAATTTGCTGGCGCTACACAGAAAGGCTTCGAAAAACCCACAGGCGCCCCTCAAATACTCGGAAACTTTGCGAGATCGCGAGCTTAGCCCGACTTCGCCGCAGCGGGTCCCTGATTCAGGGCTTTGGCCGAGATGTTTTCGATGCATCGTATGCTGCGTGGCATAGATGGAACCAAAGAACCAATGAACCAATGTACAAATGTACCAATGTTTTCGGCCCATGGTTGGTACAAAGGACGACCCATGACCCAATGTAGCAATGTACCAATGTACCAATGATTTCGGCCCATGATTGGAACAAAGGACGACCCATAACCCAATGTACCAATGTACCAATGATTGCGGCCCACGATTGGTACAAACATCCTATGTACCAATCATGGGCCGAAATGATTGGTACATTGGTACTTTGGTTCATGCTATGTACCAATCATGGGCCGAAACGATTGGTACATTGGTACATTGGTTCATCTTGCGCACCAATCATGGGCCGAAATGATTGGTACATTGGTACATTGGTACATTGGTACGTTGGTACATTGGTACATTGGTACGTTGGTACATTGGTACATTGGTACATTGGTACATTGGTACATTGGTACATTGGTACATTGGTACATTGGTACATCGCTTCTTCATTGGTTCATGCTATGTCCCAATCATGGGCCGAAATGATTGGGACGTTGGTGCCTTGGTGCGGTTGGGGTTATGTCCCAATCATGGGCCGAAATGATTGGGACGTTGGTACGTTGGTGCGGTTGGGTTCTTGTCCCAATCATGGGCCCAAATGATTGGGATGTTGGTACGTTGGTGCGGTTGGGCAGAGCATGCACGAGCACCCACCCTGCCCTTGCTGCGATCACTTTGCGTCACACTGAGCCGCGGACTCAGGCCAGGCAGAAATTCCTTTGCTGCCTTGGGTGTTTCTTTCTTGCGCCCCCCACCCCTCCCGGTTTTCTCACTAGAGTTGTGCTGCAGTTTTGCCCCTTGTGCCGGACGCCGTTTTTCTCTGCAGCAGGACTTCCGTGGTCATGCCGCGGTGGTGGGTGGCAGTGGCTGGAAATGGATGGCAAGAGGCGCTGTTAATGCCCGAAACTTGAGACGGCCGGTTTGTAGGGCTTTTGCAGACAGGTTACCGCTGTTATAGGGCTTTCGGGCGTGCAGATGCGTGCAGGCTTCAGGGTGGTCCCCTAAACTTAATAAGCTCTCAAGCCCTAAAGTCTCTAAACCTTGAGCACGGGAATGCATTTCTCCAAACCTCTCGCATCTCCAAATCTCCAGACCCGCACCCTCATGGCCGAGGTCTTGGCTTCAACGGGCGCCATGGCAGTGCAGGGGTCTCTGAATGCAGGAAGCAACGGGAGGCGTCCTGAAATCTCGACAGGCAATGACAACGACGCTTCGAGAGCCAGCATTGCGATGCTTCCACAGGTATGCCCGCCCCAGCAACTACTTTTCTAACTGTGTCGTCCGCTTTGCCCTCCCCCAAAGCTACTTTACTAAATGCGCCCGCTTTCCTTTTCACGAAATTGTCCGCCCAACAACTACTTTAGTAAATGTGTCGCCCGGTTTGCCCCCTAAATGTGTCGCCCATTTTGCCCACCCGAAAAACTACTTTACTAAAAGGGTGCTGCTTTACTAAATGTGCCGCCCGGTTTGCTCGCCCCAAGACTACTTTACTAAACGTGTACTTCAAGGGGTCTTCCTCACCGTGTAACCAAAGGCCGGCAGCGTAAACCTCAGAGACGCGCAACGTCATTCTGGCTGAGCACGTCACCAAACCCCTAAACCCCAAAGGACCCCAAAGTCTGAGTTGGAGGATTGTGAACTTGCAGGTGAGCCACTCGTATTTTACCGAGCCGTTGGGAAGCAGTGCGCAGTGTTAGTTGCCGATTCCTTTGAACGGCATCGCAAGCTGCGAAGGAAGATGTGAAATCCCGCAGGCCTCAGGCCGTTCGGGTCCGAGATCTTCAAGAAGCCCACGACACAAATAGCTTCGTCTCGATCCATGACAAGAAGATAGTCCCTCTTTTGCAACGACTTGCCATGATTCACGGCTTTCTTCATGGAAGATTGTCGACGATTGAAGCCTTCAAGGGACAAGGGCTGCAAGTCGCGGGGCCAGCGCCTTGCGGCCATGGACCGAAAACGGCGTCCTGATGTGAGAGCTTGGCTTCACACGGGTCATGGCTCAGGCTTTAGGTCCCTGACTTAGGGTCTCAGAGGCAGGGAGGGGGGGACGAGGGGGAAGACTCTCCGTTGTTCACAACACGTCATCTCCCAGACCTTGATGCACAGCCATATAGCTCTCCCAGCTAAGAAGATGATTTGCAACTTGGGTGGCCTAACCAGCCTGGTCTGATTAAGCCTGTACAACCCGGAGGTGTCAGCAAACAACCCCCCCCAACCAACAACCACAAACTGTGGTCACAACCCTCCCCTGCACCTAAAACGAAAACGGCACGAAGTCATCGTCCAAGTCGCTTAAGTCCGCTCCGCGCTCGATCTCTACGTCAGTCGCACCTGAACTGATGTCAATTCGCTTCGGAGTTGCGGAGTCTTCATGAACACTCACAAAAAGTGGCCAGGCAAACGCATAATGGTAGCCTCGTGGATCCAATCCACCAGTGCATTTCGATTCAAATGGCCTGGCTGCAAAAGGAACTCCATGGAAACGCTTTTTGTGTTTCCTGCTTCTGGGTTTGAGGTTGGTTGGGGCAGGAGGGTGCTTAGCACCAAGAAGAAAAGGATAGGATTAAACCCACCGTGCAGCATACACGAACCCTAGATTAACCCCAAAAAAGCTTACGCTAGTCGTATGCAATCCCTATATAGCCCCTCTGCAAAACGATCCACCCCGCGCAACCCCTAAAACGCTCTCGCACACTTGAGCCAACCCCCTTCAACCCCTTCCGTGCAAGCAAACAACAATGACCCGACGGGGAGGCTATAGTAGATGTTCTGGAAAAAATCTGGGAATATGGGGGAGGGGGGATTGATTGCTAAGACAGTGGGAATAGGATGAATCTGCACTCGCGACTCGAGCTCGGGGAGCCTCCCGACGCCGACGCGCGCTGAGCAGCGGCACCCGTGTTAGGCACCGTCTTGTCCAAAGGGAACTCCTGCACCCGGTGTTTCAGGCTTCGAGGTATTCATTGGGCGGATACGCTGGGCTAAGTAGTCTTTCGCAGGCCCGGCTTTTTGCCTCACTACGCAGTCGCCATTGGCTACTTTGCTCGTCGCACCTGTCTCTCGCCACGACTCTGGAGCCCTCCGTGGTTCTTATTTTGCCCCCTTAAACGTGTAAATGCGTGGAGGGATTCGGGATGAGTAGGGTCAACAGCTGCGCCTGCTCGATGACCTGGAAGGACCTCGTGATGGCCTGGCGCTTCGGAAAACGTCTCAAAACAGCCGGCATGGACTGCCCATGCTTCAAGCACAGGAACGCACGTGGGAGCCATGCCTTAGTTCATCTGCGCGCCGTGTTTATGTGCGGTCTTGTCCAAAGTTTTGCGGATGTTTGCATTATCATGAGTGTCGCTACTGACATACAGATACAGCACGCCCTACAAGCCTTACTACAAGCATCTATCCCAATGAGGACCTAGCCTGATGAGGACATCTCTCGATGAGCTGCAGAGACAGGATCCGAGGTGTGTTCGAGGTATTCCATACGGCAATGATAGAAAACCTTAATAATATACGAATATAACGAAGATCGTATGACGAAGAGCATGAAAGCATTAAGGGTCAATCAAGCTCCGTACTCGACAGAATGTCAACTCACCTGCAGCTGACTCTACACCAAGCAGGGTTCAGTGTTCGGCCCATCCCAGCAGGCATCATGAGTCGCATCGCAAACCTCTCATGAGTTCCACTGCAGAACCTGTGCCGCGCCCGACTTGAGCCTCCACATCGTGGCAGCGCAAGAGCATGGGCTGGCCAACCTTCCAAAGGGGCATAAGAGTCCAACGTGCAACTGTCTTGCGCTGCCAGACCCAGTGCTTGCAGGCAAGGATGTATGTGTACGTCTTTGACATAAGATTCAGACTCATGCATGTGATGCCGAGCTCACCTAGAGACTCAATTGTACCCGGGCTTGCGTGACAGCCCTACACTGCCAAACACGAGACCATACTGACGTCAAGTGATGGCCCGCTAACCCTCTAGAAACGAAAAAGTAGCGCCTCCAGTATCTGGAATGCCAGACTGAGGAGGCCCGTGTAGCCATCCTTCATGATGGCAACCCAGCGCTGCTTGGCCTCAGCGCTGGGGTTGTCGCGGGAAAAGAAGCGACTGCCCTGCATGGCGCAGGGCCAGCATACGCAGCCTTTTAGCCTTTTCATGCCAGGCTCACCTTACACCCAAACCCAAGTTCAATTCGGACCGATTCATGCGACCTACTGTTTGAGCGAGGGTCGAGCTCCAAAGCAAGCATGTGTCACTGGCAGTTCTTCGTAGGTGGGGGGTCCTGTTGCCAAGATCTGGTAGGGCCGGGCTTGTAAAGCATGAGCGCCTGTGAGACTGTTATCGGGAGTTCGAGGCCAGGATAGCCCAGGTTTGAGACCCAAACCGTGTGTCAGGGGTCAAGTTCTACCCTTTCCGAGTATTGTAAGTTAGCCTTTACAATTGCAGGCCAGGACAAATGGTGTGTTGGGTCTATCAAGTATAAAAGTAAACCCAAACCTGCAGAAACCTGGCTCTAGTTGGGAGAGCTGCTTCAAAGCATGCATCCATCAGCTGAGCCCATGACAGCAGTGATTGGGAGCAATGTGAAGAAGGACAGCCACCACCGACGCGCATACCTTGGCTCTGGTGCTGGCTAACAAGGGCAAACAAAAACTGGGTCGCGCCTTAGTGGAGTCAAGAGCATGCCTGAATTGTCGGTGACTGCAGGTTCATTGAAGGGGCCACTTGCCAAAACACATTTGCAACGGCTGCCGAAGATGTATCCGACTGCTTCCTTCCGCCACTTCGCAATCTGGGTGACTCCACACTTACAATCTTAAGCAGGCTGCACACACGATATCTGCTCCGACAACTTTGACATTGCACAGCTTACCACGCTATCAACTCCAAAACCCAAGGCCCCTCTGTTTCCATGTGCTGGCAAGGTATATGTACACTTCTATGCCAGACGCTGGAAGTGAACGTTCCTGGAATCGGGTTTAGCTGACAGCAAAATACAAGCATATAAAGGAGTATGAACTCTAGTAACCGAT